TGGATATATGAAATATACATATGGATTCCGACTCACAGTGATACCATGTGTTCTACAGGGGTTTCTTGACTATGACCTTTAAGAAAGCAGATTGCCCTTTCTTCCATGGTTGCTGCTGTGTGGGTTCGAACCACATTTAAGTTAATAATCTGTTGTTGTTGTTGTTATTTGCCATCGAGTCGGCCCCGACTCATAGCGACCCCTCCTTGGGTTTCCGAGGCAGTATCACTACGGAAGTAGGATTGCCCAATCTTCCTTCCGAGGAGTGGCTGGTGGGTTTGAACTGCCAGACTTCTAGTGTGAACCATTTGCATTACCCAGAAACCCTGATATAAAATAAATATATTAAAAGTCCTGGGCATTCTTTCAATTCAAACTTCCCTTTCCCTATTACAAAGATAATATCTTGATTAAGCAAAACTCTACTTCTTTTGCCCTTTGGCTAGCCCTTCAGCACTATAATATATCATTCACTCCCTTACAAAGATTTGTTTTCCTTCAGGTGGTCATCCATGCACCCAACTAAGGACCTCACCAGGACAACAGACCAATAGATACAACACACTGTGCTTACAACTGAAGAAACATGCTAATGGAAAAAGAACATCACAGATACAATGAGCAGGAAGAAAAAAAAAAAGAGGAGAGGAAAAGCAAAGACAACCAGAACTTATAGGAAGGGCCCATGTAATTTGGGTGCTAGGTGAAGAAACAACAGTCTATCCTCGATTTATATCGATCTGTATAAAGATGCATTAACTGAAGGTATCCCACAGTGATTAAGAGTATAGACTCCAGAGCCAGATTGCCAAGTTTTGCATCTTGACTCTGCCATTTGCTACCTGTGACCTTGGGCAAGTCACAGTACCTCAGTTTCCTCACCTGAAAAAAATAGGCTGTTATGAGAATGACAATATGTATAAAGCACTGACTGTGGAACACTGTAGGTGCATGTAAGAGTTCACTGTAACTGTGTTCATAAGCTTAAATCAAAAAAGAAGATTTTTTTCCCAAAACTTTTTCACAAGTTGGAAAAAACCTACCTAATCCATAAATACAGGTTGGTCACAAACTCCACATTCCAACTCTGAAATTTGAAACCATGACTCCCCTTCTCACAAGACAACTCAGGGATCCAGGTTCTTCGTGCCTCAAGACTCAGACACCTGAATCCCAGTTTCCTTAATTCCCTCTCACACAGGGCTTAAGTTGTGATACTTATGGAACAGCAATACTGTTTCAAGACCAGTCCTGGGACAGCTTGTCAGTTCTTCTCAGATGTACTGCTTAAAGGTGGTTAGGATAGTGCTTCCTTACCCCAGAAATGACTAATTTAAAATGACAGATCACCAGGATTCCCTACTTAACATTTTCATTAGGTTTCCTTAAGAGAAGACTAAGCAATAACATACAATAACCTCCCTTTCTATGAATAAACCATAAAGAGACCAATTGCAACAAATACTGGAGGAAAGATAGGGTATCATGTTCTTACTAAGGAGTCCTGGTGGTGCAATTGTTAAGCATTCGGCTGCTAATTGAAAGGTCAGCAGTTCCAACCCACTGACAGTTCAAATCCACCAGCTGCTTGCAGGAGAAAAGACCTGGCGCTCTGCTCCCATAAAGGTCATACCCTAGGAAACCCTATGGGGGCAGTTCTATTCTGACCTATAGGGTTGCTATGAGTCAGAGTCAACTCAACAGCACACAACAAGAACAAGATGTTCTGGCCAAACTTTTTTTTATCTTCTGTAAGCATTGGCTTGTTACCCTTTTCCCTCCTGTAAGTCACTTTCATAAGTCAAGCCTTCCCATCCATATGGGGGCTCAGGTAGCAATAATAGCCATGATTTCTTGAGAACTTACTGAATGATAAGACTTCTGTATACATTATTGTGGCAGACCAAGAGTTGTCTTAACAATCCATTCTCTTCTTCCACCACAGTGAGCACTGTTTGCCACGTGGATGAAGACAATGGGAATAGCTGCCTGGTGCAGAGAGGGAGCCTTTTGCTGTGGACCACAGAGTTGCCCTGCCTGCTTGGATCCCTGGATGACCCTGTAGAACAAAACCTGTCAGCTGGCTCTGGATGGTTACTGGGAAAGGATAAACTTCCAGTTGAGAGATCTATTTGTTACAGCACCTTAGCCAAATACCAACTAATACAATTATCTTAGCTAATCCCTAAAATACATGGGGAAAGAATGGTATTTGTATCTCCTACTTCATAGGGTCATTGTGAGGATGACATGAGAGATTGCATGTAGAGTTCTTAATAATAAACATGTCACACAATAATATGTAATATTATTCCCATATTACAGATGAGGAAATGGTAAATAACTTCCTCAAGCTAATAAACAGTAGTGTGAATTGGAACCCAGACACCCAACCCCAGAGTTTATAATGCAATCCACATACTGCTGTGCTTCCAGAAGGGTAAAATGATATAATGCATAAAGGGTCTGTCAGAGTCCAGGAGTTGGCACCTAACTGTGCTCAGGAGAGCATCATTGTGGAGAGCATGGGCTGTGGAGGCTGAGGAACCTGCCAAACAACCTTGCTCTGCAACTATGAGATTTGTGAGTTAGGCAGAAGCCTTGGTTTTCTCATCTGTAAACGGAGACCCTCACAGGACTGCGGTGAAGATTAAAAGAGGTAATGTATACAAAAAGCTATGATCAAGCCAGACACAAATGAATGTTCAGTGATGCTGGTACCAGGGGAAACAGCACTGAGTGGCCTCTTGCCTCTCCTCCACTTGTCAAACTGCTTCCTTTTTGCAGACACTGGGAATAATAACCAACATTTGTGCAACTTCATTTGTGCAACTACCACATCATTTCTTCACCACAAGCCTGGGAGGTAGGTAAATGAAATTCCACCACCACTGAGTCATTTCTAAGTCACAGAGATCTTTTAAGACCGAGCAAAACTGCCCCATAGGGTTTCCAAGGCTGTAAATCTTTATGGAATCCAAAACCTACTGCCATGGAGTCCGTTCCAACTAACAGTGACCCCCTTTAGGTTTGTAAGACTGTAAATCTTTATGGAAGTAGATTGCCTCATTGTTCTCTGGTGGAGCAGCTGGTGGGTTTGAACCTCTGACCTTCTGGTTAGCAGCCCTAGAAGCTTTAACCACTATGGCACCATTCCCATTTTATGGATAGGAAATGAAGGCATAGATTAGTCCCAGAGTCACAGTAGAAGTAAGTGGCAGTTCAGGATTCAGATTTAGGCCCATATGTCTGGTGGTCATGCTCTGTGCCCCTCACCCAGCTGCCTTTCCTCCTAATGTACTCTGGGTTGGATAGAGGAATTCTTTAAATGAATGAATGGATAGATGAATATATATATATATATATTCTATTTAACAAAAAAACCTCGCTGCCATTGAGTCGATTCTGACTCATAGCAACACCCTTTGCATTTCCAATGTGGTAAATCTTTACAGGAATAGATTGCCCAGTCTTCCTTGCATGGAGTGGCTGGTGGGTTTGAATCGCCAACTTCTGGTAGTGGTCAATTGCCTTAGACACTACACCAGGCTGCTAACCAGAAGGTCAGTGGTTCAAACCTGCCAGCTGCTCCGTGGAAGGAAGATGAGGTGATCTACTTCTGTAAAGATTTATGGCCTCGGAAACCCAATGGGGGTTGCTATGCATCGGAATTGACTTGATGGCAGTGAGTTTGGGTTGGTTTGCTATTTAACAAATGAAAAGAGGGTACCAGGTGTACAAGGTAACTGTTCTGGTTACCTAGTGCCGCTCTGACAGGAATATACCACAAATGGGATGGTTTGAACAAACAGGAGTTTATTCTCTTACAATTTTGGAGGCTAGAAGTCCCAGTTCAAAGTCCCAGGCTCTAAGGGTAGGTGAAAGCCCCTCAACCTTGGGCTTCAGCTCTGCCTTCTGCTCCCAGCCCACTGAAGCTGGAGGCTTTCTTCACTCAGGCAGCTACTAGCTGCTAAGGCTGACAAACCCAGGGTGGACAAGTGAAAAGGCATAGTCCCCGATATTAGCAAACCACATGGCAGGCCACTGATTCAAGTCCAGGGACAGTTCCAAGACTGGCAGAGCATGGCAGGCTACTGAATGAAGGCTCGGCTATATGCAGGGTCCAAGCATGCCGAAAAGCTAGAGACCTTCCTCAAAGCTGCTTCTTACTTACTGGAAGCAGACCACATCTCTAAATCAGCTTCTCAGCTGCTCCAGTAGATTCCACCATGGAATTGACTGCCAATCTCACCATGGGGAATAACTACATGCAGCTGCCCAGCCACTCAACTAGGCCCAGCCAAGTTGACAACAACCGTAACTACCACAGTAACCTACTTGGGTTAAAGCATAACTCTAAGCTGTGGTAACAATGAGTCCTTAGTCCTATGAGCCTCAGTTTTCCCATCATTAAAACAAGGATTCTAGCACCTGCTGTCCAGAGTCCTTGTGGGTTTTAAATGAAACCCCGGCTGTAATCACTCACCCCTCACAGTGCACCTGGCTCATACTAGGTCTCTATAACTGGCAACCAGCTTTGGCTGTTGTTCCTCCGGGCAACACCTGCCAGACAGTGAGGGAGACCCTTTGCCGGGACTGCGGGCGCGGCAGCAGTCGCCTGGGAAAGTGAAAATGGAGCCAGTTTGTCGGATTAGAAAAATGAGCTGCCAGGAACATGCACGACTCTGCTCGTGTGACCCGAACCCCTCCAGGCAGGCCTCGTGACAACGGTTCCCGTGAGGGCGCGCCCCCAGGTCCCACCCCACCGCTCTCAGTGCGAGTGCAAGTGCCTCTTTTCTAGCTGTGGGTGTCCGCCGCCAGGGAAGCCAAGCTCAGCCTAGGGCTAGGAGTTTGGACGCGGGTCTCCAGACTTCCTTGCTAAAGAAGGAGGCGCGCGCAGATGTTTCAGCATTCAGAGCGCAACGTGAAAACTCCACTGCAGGAGAAAGCAATGTGTTGCAGGATACTCCACCCGCGCCTCCACCCACGTGGCTCCTTACCTGCCGAAGTGCCCCACGCGGTCAAATATCAACTCGAAGTTACCGGGCCCCATGGTGCAGCCGCGCACTCCACTCCGAGCCGGGACGCGCCGAGCTCCCCCAGAGTCCGGGCCGCTGGCACGGTGCCCCGCCCCGCCCTGCCCCGCCCCGCGCGGAGTGGGCCCGGCCCGGGCTAACCACCCTGCGGGTCGGGCCCGGGCCCAGGGGTGCCGCCCGCGGGCCGGGGATCTCTGCGCTCCCGGCGCGTTCAAGCTGTGAGCAGGACTAGCCGGTATTCGTCCCTGCCTCATTCAGTCTCTCCTTTCCCCCGGCTTACCCACGTCGCCTGTGGTCTCTTCCCCAGTCTGCTCTGGTCCCCAGAGGCCGCGTCACACCGATGCCCTCACCCGCAGCTCTACCACTTCCCGCATCTTCCATGCAACCTCCTTCTGACCTTTGGCACTCACTGTATACATGTGGTTGCCACACTCAAAGGAAGTCCCAGAGCTGCCACCGCGCAACAGAAAAGGTTGTCACTCAACATCCTAGGGACAGAATGGAGAAGCCAGGCTCAGTCTGGGGGCCATAAGAACACAGAATCTTCAGAATGACACGCCTTAAAAACAGGACTCTCAAATTACGAGCTTAAGAATGTACTGGAGTACTTGCTTTAAAATTTATGTTTCTGACTCCGTTCTTGGTAATTCACCCTGCGTGGGGTGAGGCCCAGAAATCTGATTTTTAATATGCAGAGCAGGTAGTTCAATGGCCCACACTCTGAAATAGGCTGAGGTTTGGCATGTACCCAACCCAGGCGATAGGTAATCTTCCCACAGGATTGCAGCAGGTGAAAGAACTGTGGAGAAAGGTCCAATGGCTGCTACACAGAGCCAGCAGAGAAGCTTGACTGTGGCTTTGTCCAGAAGGGTGGTGCCCTCCTTTAGTGACCCTGGCTGTCACGGGCCACACTGTGGGTCTGTCTGGCCACTCGAAATAACCACTAGACTGTGAGCTCTGAGAGGACAAGAATGCAATCTCTTGGTCACCTCTGCTGCCCCAGCCCCTTAGCACATGCTGTCACCTCTGCATTTCACCTTACCCTTAAAATCTGAGAGTCAACATACTTTCTGAACTGCTTGGGGGCTCTCACGTTTGAGAGTCAGGAGCAGAGCACAAAGAATGGATTCCGGGGTCACCAAGAAGTGTTAGGACCCTGAAGGACTCTGTTAGGGAATTTACTTTTACCAAAAAACAAAGGGAACCCCGAGTGGATACTTAAGCAGCTTTTCTGCTTCACTCTTGGCATGAACAAATAGGATTTGAAAAAAGAAGAAATGCTGTCTCCCAAAGTACTTTCCTCACCTATTTGTCACAGAGCCTGAAGTCACACCATTAAATATGTATTTGATTTTGTTATGCATAATCTTCTCTAGACATTTTCTTTTTCTTTTTTATAATTTACCTTAGTTTGTTATTCTTGAGAATATAGACAGCAGAATGTACACCAAGTTTCTACAGTTTCTACAATACAGTGACATTGATTACATTCTTCAAGTTATGCAGTCATTCTCACCTTCTTTTCCAAGTTACTCCTCTTCCATTAATATAAACTCACTGTCCCCTAAGTTTCCTATTCACTCTCTCAAGTTGCTATTGTCAAGTTGATCCCATACAGATAGACATTAAAAGAGCACATTGCTCAAAGGAGACATTCTTTATAGTTTAAGCTAAACTATTGCTTGGTTTGAAGAAGTCTTCAGGGGATATTTTTGGTTAAAGTTTTCAAGATTATCTCAGGGCAATACTTTCAACAGTTTATCCAACCTCCATGACTTCAGAAATTCTGGGTTCCATGAAAACTTGAAATCCTTTTCTGTATCTTCCCCAATTTTGATCAGGATTATTCTATAGGAGCTTTGATCAAAATGTTCAGTAATGATAGCCAGGTACCATCCTGTTCTGGTCTCGTGGCAAAAGAGGCAGTTGTTCATGGAGATAATTAGCCACACATTCCATTTAGACATTTTATTTTGAAATGTAAATAGTCCTGGAAGAATTAATCTATTAACTAAGGCATGACTTGGAGTATATTTATTTATTAGGTAAATTGCTCCTAACAAGAGAATCTTAAAAAAGCCTAAAACCTTCAGGCTAGCAGTGGTGGAAATGGAGAGGTAAGAAATAGATTTGCACAGAGCTAAACTTAAGAGAAAAGTTGGGGTCCAGAGGGACAAGTCAAGGTCCTGAATTATTTCAAATCCCCAAAAGGAGAGTTATGTGGATAAAATTTGGAGAAAATTCAACTTTCATTCAACATCCTAATTACAAGAAATAGAAACACCTTACCATATGTTGTTGTTGTTGTTGTTAATTGCCATCGAGTCGTCTCGGATTCGTGGAGACCCTCTGTACAGCAGAACGAAACACTGCCCAGTCCTGTGCCAGACCTGTGATCCTTGCTATACCTGAGCCCATCATTGCAACCACTGTGTCAATCCATCTCATTGAAGGCCTTCCCCTTTTTCATTGACCCTCCACTTTACCAAGCATGACATCCTTTTCTAGTGAATGGTCCCTTCTGACAACATGACCAAAGTAGGTGAGACGAAGTCTGGCTGTTCTCACTTCCAAGGAGCATTCTGGCTGCACTGCTTCCAGGACAGATTTGTTAGTTCTTTTATCAGCCCATGGTACTTTCAGCATTCTTCGCCAGCACCACAACTCAAAAGCATCAACTCTTCTTCGGTCTTCCTTATTCATTGTCCAGCTCTCACATACATATGAGGTGATTGAAAATATCATGGCTTGTGTTAGGTGCACCTTAGTCCTCAAGGAGACATCTTTGCTCTTCAGCACTTGAAAGAGGTCTTTTGCAGCAGATTTGCCCAATGCAATACGACATCTGATGTCTAGACTGCTGCTTCCATTGGTGTTGATTGTAGAACCAAGTAATATGAAGTCTTTGACAACTTCAATATTTTCTTCATTTATCGTGATGCTGCTTATTGGTCCACTTGTGAGGATTTTTGTTTTCTTTATCTTGAGATGTAATCCATACTGCAGACTGTAGTCTTTAATTTTCATCAGTAAGTGCTCCAAGTCATCCTCACTTTCAGCAAGCAAAGTTGTGTTGCCAGAGTATTGCAGGTTGTTAGTGAGTCTTCCTCCAATCCTGATGCCACGTTCTTCTTCATATAGTCCAGCTTCTTGGATTATTTGCTCAGCATACGAATTGAATAAGTATGATGAAAGGATACAACCCTGATGTACTTCCTTCTTGATTTTAAACCATGCAGTGTCCCCTTGTTCTGTTCAAACTACAGCCTCGTCATCTATGTACAGGTTCCTCATGAGTACAATTAAATGTTCTGGAATTCCCATTCTTCTCAATGTTATCCATAATTTGTTATGATCCACACAATTGAATGCCTTTGCATAGTCAATAAAACACAAGTAAACATCTTCTGGTATTCTTTGCTTTCAGCCAAGATCCATCTGACATCAGCAATGATATCCCTCATTCCACATCCTCTTCTGAATCCAGGTTGCATTTCTGGAAGTTCTCTGTCAATATACTGCGGCAACCATTTTTGAATTATCTTCAGTAAGATTTTACTTGTATGTTATATCAATGATAGTGTTCAATAATTTCCACATTCTGTGGTTACACTTTTCTTTGGAATGGGTACAAATATGGATCTCTTCCTGTCAGTTGGCCAGGTAGCTGTCTTCCAAATTCTTGGCATAGACGAGTGAGTGCCTCCAGTGCAGCATCCATTTGTTGAAACATCTCAATAGGTATTCTGTCAATTCCTGGAGCCTTGCTTTTTGACAATTCCTTCATTGCAGCTTCAACTTCTTCTTTCAATTCCATTGGTTCTTGATCACATGCCACCTCCTGAAATAGAAGAACATCAACCAATTCTTTTCAGGCAGTGACTCTGTGCATTCCTGTCATCTTCTTTTGATGCTCGCAGCTTCATTCAATATCTTGTCCATAGAAGGTTGGGCAATCCTACTTCCGTAGTGATACTGCCTCGGAAACCCAAGGAGGGGTCACTATGAGTCAGGTCTGACTCGACGGCACATAACAACAACAACAACAACAGAATCTTTCAGTATTGCGAGTCAAGCCTTGAAGTTTTTCTTCAGTTCTTTCAGCTTGACAAATGCCAACTATCTTCTTCCCTTTGGTTTTCTAACTCTAGGTCTTTGCACATTTCAGTATAATACTTTGTCTTTTCAAGCTGCCCTTTGAAATCTTCTGTTCAGCACTCTTATTTAATCATTTCTTCCATTTGCTTTAGCTACTCTACATTCAACAGCAAGTTTCAGAGTCTCTTCTGACATCCATGTTGGTCTTTTCTTCCTTTCCTGTCTTTTTAATGATCATTTGCTTTCTTCATGAATGGAGTTGTTGATGTCATCCCACAACTCATCTGGTCTTTGGTCACTGGTGTTCAATGCACCAAATCCATTCTTCAGATGGTCTCTAAATTCAGGGTCATATCTTGGCTCTCATGGATGTGTTTAATTTTCTTCAGCTTCAGGTTGAATTAGCATATGAGCAATTTTTGGTCTGTACATCTTGGCCTAGTTTTGACTGAAGATAGTGAGCTTCCCCATCACCTCTTTCTACACATGCAGTCCATCTGATTCCTGTGTATTCCATCTGGCAAGGTCCACATGTATAGCCACTGCTTATGTTGCTGACAAAAAGGCATTTGGAATAAGTCATTGGTCTTGTAAAATTCTGTAATGAGATCTCCTATCATTAAGCATCATTTCTATCACCAAGGCCATATTTTCCAACTACTGATGCTTCTTCTTTTTTTTCCAACTTTTGCATTATAATCACCAGTAATAACCAATATATCTTGATTGCAAGTTTGGTAAATTTCAGACTGCAGATGTTGGTAAAAATCTTTAATTTCTTCAGCTTTGGTTTTAGTGATTAGTGCATAGATTTGAATAATAGTAGTATTAACTGGTCTTCCTTGTAGGCATATGGATATTATCTTATCACTGACAGCATTGTACTTCAAGATAGAAGCATACTCTATATATCCAGCAA